CCTCCTGGATATTCAGACTCCAGGAGCCCTTCTTCTATTTCCAGTGGATACTTCCTAACTTCCTCCTTTTGGCTTGAGATTTCATTCTTGGACATCATGAGACTATGAGCTTAGTTTGCACGGAATTAATTGATTTGGAGGATGACGCTAGGGCTGCTTACAGTCGAGTTAGATTGCAGCTGGGGGTTGAACTCTGGGAAGAGTGATCAGGCCTCCATTCTTCACCCCAGGTCTCCATGCCCTTTGCTCCTGTGTCAGCTCAGCCTACCTGTATGTGGCCTGTATCTCCTCATCTGTTGACCCTGATCACCATGTGATTTGACTGGACCAACAGAGATCATATTATGAGAAGAGTTCAAGTTCATAATCTAAGCTTCTAACTTAAGAAAATTATAAAAGACAAAGCTAAAACAAGCAGAAAGGAGGAAGCCACAAAAAGTACAAACCAACTAAATTGAAAACAAAAGCAGTAGAGAAAAAAAATCAATAAAAAAGCTGATTCTTCTGGGCACGGTGGCACCCAGCACTCGGAAGGCTGAGACAAGAGGATTGCCACAAATTCAAGGCCAGCCTGGGCTATGTAGTGAGTTCAAGGCCAGTCTGAACTACTTAACAAGAAAGACCCTGTTCTCAGAAAAAATCCAAAAATGTTAGTAAAACTGGTAAATCTGTAAGAAGAAGACAAATGTTACTAATACCAGGAAGGGGCACAATCATTACAAAATTAAGGAGACGTCATGAATAAGTCTGCACGAGTGAATTGCACAATGCAGATGACCTATCCAGCTCTCTGAAGGAATTGTGCCTGTAGGGCTCAGGGGTCTGCAGGATGAGAATCCAAGGGCAGTGCTGGGTTTTCTGCTCCAGCAAAGCCCCAGAAGGCTCTGCTGTAATACTAGCAGCATCATGAGCACAGTGGTGCACACTGGTAGTCCCAGCTGCTCAGGAGGCTGAGGCAGGAGGACCACTTGAGCCCAGGAATTGGAGACCAGTCTGTGCAACAGAGACCCTGTCTCAAGGAAACCAAACCAAGGCTTAACACCACCAGCAGCCTTAACATGTAGTGGCGTGGGACTGCGCAGGGGTCTAGCTGTCCTATCTCAGCGGTAATGGAGACAGCTCAATGTGTCTGTTGTCTCTGCCACACCCCTGCCTTCCTGGGCCTCCTCCTTCTCCTGCACATCAGCCCACTTTCCCTCTGCTTTCCCTGCCTGCCCTGCTCCACTAGCTGTGCCTCACCAGACCCACGCCACAGAACCCACAGACCTTGCTGTGCTGCGCAGAGGGACCAGAAGTGGGAGTGAGCAAGGCAGCAGGTGCTGAGAACACAGCACACCTTCCCCTTCTCTCACCATCCACTTGCAAGTTGGATCACAGTGGACAGCATGGGTGTTTATGGCCGTTCTTGGGCCAGTGAAATATTAAAACTGATTTAGGATAATTTCATCAAAGGTGAATCTAGGTGAAGACTTACATGTTTTCTTGCTTCTGCAGCTTTTAACTGTTAATTTCGTAAGGCAGATTTGTGAACCAGCCTCCCTTCCTTCAGCCCGTCAGGCTTTGGGATCATCCACAGCTTGAAGTGCAAAGATATGCTGCTGGGATGCAGGCAGGGAGCGGAGAAGGGAAGACTCCTGCTGCTCTGAAACCTTGGGAAAGTGGAGGTGGGCGGAGTCCTGGGGTCCAGCCATGTCCCAAGCCTTGCCCGTCCTGCTTTGCTCAGGTCCCCTCCCACCCCTGCTGGCACCTTCCCATCTTCTTGCCCTTGTCCTCCCTGCTCCAGTATAGGCAGCCAGGGACAGGATGGGAGGGTGGCGCCTTTTGCCCACAGGGTGCTTAGTTCAGTGTCCAGAGCTGCAGGAAGGGCCAGTGTGTAAGCCTGGCTGGGATCCTCCTCACCTTGCCTTCCTAGGTGGCTGGGACTGATGGAGACTGCCATGATGCAGCCCAGAGCAGGACTTAAATTAACCAATTGGCTTTTTTATGTTTACTTGTGAATCTGTCCAAAGCCCACGTCATTTGTCTGGAAGTGGGTAATGGACTCATAGTAAATGAACCTCTGTGAGTCACTAATCCCTACTAGAACCTGTAATGACGGATGAAGCTGGAAAGCCTCAAAGGATAAAACAAGATCACAGCCAAGGACACCTGGATCTGATCTCAACTACATAATGACTATAGCCTCAGCCATTTCACCCCTGGTTGGATTAATTTAACCCTTATTATGGATTAATTTAATACCTTACTTGGAGAAGTCCTTGAGTAATTCTATCCTTCTTGAGTATTCCCCTCCCTTCTTCTGACAACCAAATAAATATGGGCCACCCAGAGAAGGTCTTGGTTTTAGCCCTGAGAGAATCTCAAATTCTGTAAGAGGGCTTTGATCCTCCTGGAGCCCTGAAATCATTCCATTTGCCTCTTTTTATTTAGCCTTCACCATACATTCATTTGGGAGATTGTGGACCTGATCAGTCCACAATAACTGATATATTATTAATCCAACAGGGGACCACACTGAGCTAGATGGAGAGGGGACACCCTGCCCCTGTGGAGGTCTGCGGGGTGGCAGGTGGCCAGCAGCATGCTCCTGATTGGGACATGCTCATGGAACCCAGCATGGAGCGCTACTGGGACCTGGCCATGATCCTCAACTACCTGTATGAGGATGTAATGGTTGATACAGTATGTCGAATTGGGAAGTTTAGAAGTGACTCAGCAAGGGGCAGGGTCTTCACTTTGTAAACATCCTGTACAAGAGGGCAGGGAGATGGTGTGAGTGCTACACCTGTCCTAGGGGCTGGTAGCCTGCTTATAATATAAGGGAGGAAAAGAGGCTTGCTCTGACCCCTTTGTGTTCTTGTTCCTTTTGCTGTCTTCTGCCTTGAACGGTTGCCCCTTAGCCAAGCCACCCTGCCTTGGAGCCAGCTGATTACAGACTGAAACCTCCACAAACTGTGAGCTAAATAAACCTTTCTTTCCTTAATGTTGGGCGCTGTCGGGTATTTTCTCTGAGCAAGGAGAGAAAAGTAACCAAGACAGAAGAGTACAGCAAAAGGATGAAATAAGAAACAGGGACAAATTTAGTAATACATGAAGGAGGGCTGGAAGGTCAGTGCCTCAGGATAGGCAGAGACAAAGACACTCTAAACCAGCCACTATTTATTGGGTATATACAATGATGGGGGAACTAGCAGGCGGAAGACTCAGAGGTCCATGACTCAGTGGTAACCCAAGGGATAATCCTGGGATGCCTGGAGTTTGGAGATGACCCCATGCTAAGAAGGAGCTTGCCCTGGAATGTTTTTTAATCTCTGTGGTCTTAGTTTAGTTTTAGTGGCTGGGAGAGGATGGCCCATCCCTAAAGAGTTAATGGGAAATCTGAAAGGGTGATAATCCCAAACCTCCATTTATCCCTTAGGCAAGTATGCAAAAATATCCACTGTGAATTTGCGGTCCTCAACAGAGGGCTTTGAAGGAGCCTGCTGTCAAGGCTTCTCCAGCCGCTAGGATCCAAGCACCGGGTAGGGGTGTGTATGTGTGTGTGTGTTGTGAAGCTCTGGGTTCCTAGAGGCAGGGGCCTCTGCCCAGCACCTCCCTCCACAGTACGTGCTGGGCACTCTTCTCCCTGGCCCTCCATGTCCTGGCTCCTGTGGGCTATGTTCATTTGTAGTTCCAGGTCTCAAGACAACCCCACACCAGCCTGCACTGTGGCTTGGGCCTGGCGTTCCTTCTACTTCCTGGCTTTCACCAGTCTCAGCTGAACCACTTTTCTTGGCTGGTTAGGCACAAGCCCGTGCAACTTGTCTGACTACTCCTTGGCTTCAAAGCCACGGTCATGTACAGCTTAATGACAGAGGCATGTTGTAGAATGTGTCTTCAGTCATTGTGTGAACATCAAGCAGTGTGAGCTACACGCTCAGAGCGGCCCAAACAAGGGGCAGTGTGATCTTCCCACCATGTTTGTGTTGGTCAGCGGTGGATGAAACATCAGCAAGGCTGATAACTCCTCAGCTACCTTGTCTCCCAGCAGAGCAGGAAGCCAGCTCTGGTGCCTGGGGGCCTCAGCAGAGCCACCACCGTCAATGCACCAGTCACCCAAAGCACGTGCTTCCTCTTAAGGTCAGTGCTGTTAAAAAAAAAAGTGCTCTATTCAGGATACATAGCCCATGACGATGCTTGAGAGTCTATTCTCACAAAGCAATCCCAGGGGATGTGAGCCCCCAGTCACCAAACACCCAGGCTCCTCCTAGCTCAAGGACTCTACCTCTTGGGCGTGGCCAAACTGTCCTGAGCTGAGGCAAACTAGCTGCCAGCTGAGCTGAAGTCACCTTTTAAGGGGTCCCTCATCCCCCTAAGCATGAGGCTGCTGGATTCCGTGCTTGAGGGCAAGAGGGGTCAGAAGGACCCTGCCATCTGGGCCACTACTCACCAGGAGTCTCTGTTCTCCAGTATGTTCCCTTTGCAGTGTTGATGACCCCATCCCAAGCCCAGCACTCACCACAGATGTCACTCAATGGTCAGGGAGTGATGGCCCCGTCTCCAATTTTCTGCAATCAGGGTGGCTCTGTCAGTAGTTCTGGCGCCCTGACCTGGTATTCCCTAAAGCAGGAGTCTGGGAGTTTAAGGCAGCTATTCCTCTATAAGTAATTAATAGCTAACTCTGTAGTTTGTCCGCTCTCATCATTCAACTCTGAGCTCAGATGCGAAGGTGGAAGCCAGGCCCCTGCTCAGTGACTCTGGTAAGGGAAAAGGATGCAGGCATCCGGATGGCCAGCCCTGGCCTGGAGATACCGGTGCACTGGTCTGGAGTGATGCACAGGGACCTAGTGCACGTGGCCTGTGATCCCCGCCTCCGGGTCACCTGTGTGCACACAGTGCTGGTGTGTGTGTGCGTGCGCACGTGCAGTCCAGGACCCCACTCTCCTGCAGGTGCCTCTGCCTTCAACTCTCCTCTTGCTCAAGGCCTAGGAGAGCACAGCAGACACAGGGAGAGAAACAACTTGTACTGATGACTTTTTATTTTCTGAATTTCCAGAATCAGGTTTCTACTGGGCAAATAGAAAAATAGAAAAGCTTATTACTTTTAAAAGGCAACTATGACAAGTGTATACGCAGGGAAAGGGCTCCTGGGATGTGAATGAACACAAGGAGTGAGTTTGGCCTCAGCACAGTGCATTGTGGCAATAACAGAAAGGAGCGTGTCCTCACATCTCAGAGCTGAGATGGTGCTCTCCAGAGCTGGCGCCGCAGTTACGGGTCTTCCTCACCGACTAGCTGGCCCAGTCGTGGAACCGGAAACAGTCACTCGCAATCTTCCACACTGTGTTGTTGGGGGAAGCCTGGGCAGTGAGGATGAAGTTCTGGTTGAAGTCCCGCTGTTTGTTGCCCTCAAACTTCACTGACCCACAGATGACAACCAGGACCGTGGTCTGGCTCGGTGTGGCCTCATCGTGGACAGGCTGGCAGTCAACCACATTGATCTGGAACTCGCTGGAGGGCAGCATTTCAAAGAACTCACTCAAGGACTCCTGTCCCGAAACAGCGTTTCCGTTCCACACCAAGGTGGCAGTGCCCATATAGAGGCGGGACAGCAGGCGCCGCCGCTTGTCCATGGTGGTGTAGTAGACATTGACGAACTCCTCAGCTGCTCTGCAGGCCTGGTCCACGTAGGTCTTGAAGTCCACAGATGCCATCCCGGCCGAATGAAAGGAGGCCTCTCCTATGGATCAGCCTCAGACCTGGGGAGCCAGGGGCTGTAGGCAGGAAGGGCGAGAACTCGCATGAATGCCACCATTCCTCCTGCCTGGTTAGTGCATCCCACTGTGGACGGCTGCATGCTGCAGGGGGGTGACACCTGTATGCTCTCCCTGAATCTTTGCAATCCCATTTTATTATGCAAAGCACATCTGAGCACTGAAGGTCCCTCCTACCCGGCCACTTGGAGCAGGCGCCACTGCCCCAGAGAACAGGGAGCTGCTCACTCTAGGAAAGACAGCAGATGGGGCTGAAGGGAGAAGTGGCCACTGGCCCAGTAAAGGACAAGCAGAGACAGTGTGCACACCTTGGCCAGGAACTCTGGGAAAGATGACCTGAGCTCACCTACATGGCTGGGAGTGAGGTGAAGACAGGCAGGTTTTCAACAGAGCAAGAGTGCAAATGTGGGAGGAGGGCCACAGTTCCAGTCACAAGTCAAAGAAGTAAAACTATGGCCTGTGCAGCAGAAATGCGCCATTTCTTTAAAAGAAACATCCTGAAAGCACCAAGAAATATAGACATCTGGGCTTTCTGTAATGGATGAAACCGAATGGTTCTTTTTTCATAATTAAAATATTGGGGGAGGGGGAACCACAGTAGAAAAAGTTACTGAAACAGTGGACAAAGTGGGCATGTTTACGTTTAGAAACCTAAATTGTGAATAACATTTTCATTTCAAAGCCCTCACTTTTTAAAACATCAGCTTATGAAACAGGTAAAAGCTACCTTTAGCTTCAGAGTGTGGCCTTAATGTTAGGAAGCTTCAGTTTGCTTAATGAGGGTTGGGGAGGGCAGATACCTTTTTTTTTTTTGTTTTCGAGGTAGGGCCTTGCTATGTAGCTCAGGCTGGCCTTAAACTCACCAGGTAACCCAGGATGGAAAGGGGAACTTTCCATTTTTTTTTTGTACGTTTGGTTTTTTTTTTTTTTGGCGCGGCGGGGGTGGGGGTGGTGGTCTTACGATGTAGTCCAGGCTGGCCTTGAACTCCTGCCGTCTTCCTGCCTCAGCCTCCCGTGTGCTGTGATTACAGATGTGCGCCTGGCATAAAATCAGGGAACTCTTTAAGGCAAAGAGCTGGGAGAAAGCAGGCCCTAGAAAGGAGCAGTCAAGAGCCAAGTTAATACGCTGCTCTCCCTGTGCAGCTCTGAGCTGTTAGCTGCTAGGTGCTCTACACAGCTAGTGCCACGGGGACAAGGGCCGTGCTGCACCGGGAGGGAAACACACACACGCACGCACGCACCCGCTCCCTCAGCGCTGCCATAAAGGGACGGGCCTTGAAAATTCTGCCAGGGCTATGTTGTCTTTTCGTTTGCTTCTGCACCCCTGCACTTGGAAGCAAGTCGGCAAGAACACAGCCCCGGAGCGCTCGTCCCGCCACGATCCTCCCCGTCCGGTCCTGGTACCTGGAGCGGGTCCCCTTCCCCGCCAGCATCCCTTCCCATCCCATCCCATCCCATCCCATCCCGCCCCGCCCCTCCAGGGCACGCCCTCCGCCCCACCCCCGCAAGCCCGGCTCCCCGCCCTCCCAGGCTAGGGACGCGGCCCAGCTACCTCAAGGAGATGCGGCCGCGACCAGAACAAAGTAGGGGCCCGGGCGCGGAACTCTCCTGCCCTCGGCTTCGTGGGTCGCCGCACTGAGCGCGCCTCCACCTCGGGCGGGAATCGCCTCGCTCCCGCTCCGCGCGTGGGCGGCCGGCCTCCGCGATCCTTACCTGCGCCGCTCCCGCCTGTCTCCTAAAGGCTGCCCCGAAGCTCCCCCTCCAGGCGCCCCGCTCCTCCGCCGCTCGCGTCGGCGGAGTGCGGACGGGCCGCCACCTGCTAGCCGTTCCTTCCAGAGGCCCCGCCCCGGCCGCCGGTTGGGGGCGGAGAAGGCGCCCGCACGCTCCCGGTTCCCGCGTGCGACTCGCCCCGCCTAGTCCCGTTCCCTCGTGATGGACAGCTAGCTCAGCCAATGGGACGGCGCGCCGAGGGCCGTGGCTTCTAGAGAGGCGCCTTCCTGGGAAGCGCCTTCCCAGAAGACCCCGGCATATCCGGAATGGAGTTTTTATTGGTAGGGATTCGTGATTGGGTTAGGCGTCTCAGGCCCCACCCCTGGAAATGGGAGTGGCTCTACTCCGGGTCAGTGTCTTGGGCCGCGGGACTGGAGGGCCCTGCTTGTGTAGTTCCCTAGAGTTGTCCCGATAGCTTCTACCACGCCCTCTGCTCTCCTGGGTCCGGGGGCTCTGCTGAGGTCTCCGGGGTCTCCTCCGAGCCTTATCCCCTCTGCTTGCCTTCTCGGCGTGAGCCACGTGGAGTTGAAGTTCAAAGGCGCCGGGCAGAGGACCTCGCGGTCCGGGGAGAGGCGGCCCGGGCCGCCAGCACCACCCGGCGGTCGCGATCCTTCTGCTGGCAATCGCGCCCAGGCACATCTGGAACCAAAGCTGCATTTTACTGAGTGTTAAGAACTGCAGGCGCCACAGAACAGAACTATTCGCTACTGGGTCTTGTAAAATGTAAAGTGCAAATTAAAACAACAAAAACCTGTTCAGGACACAACCCCAGCTTCATGTACCGGTGGGAACGGAGCAACTGAACCTGTCCCATCCGGGCGTCCCGGGGCTCCCGCCGCCGTCGTCCTCTGGCGGGATTCTTTGGGGACCAAGGGAAGGGGCTGCTCAGTATGGGCCACCGGCTTCCGGCAGGGAGGCAACAGTGTTATTAAAACACTCAGCTCGAGGCTGGATGGGCGTCTTGGCGGCAGTAGTCAAGAGAGTGGTTTTACTATACAATCGCCCTGGACAGTGCGGGGAGTTCACTGTACAGCACCCATACCGCTGCCCAGGGCAGGACATGGAAGCGGGACTGATTCAGTGCTGACCGGGTAGGCAGGTGTATGTATAGCTGCTGCTCTTCGCACACGTGTTCTACCCCCTCTTCATTCCTAAGGGCTCGGGACTGATTGCTGTTCAGATTTTATGGATGAAGAGGTGGAGAGACAGAAATTAAACAACCAGGCTTTGGAGCCCAGAAGTGCAGGTTGTGAGAACTTTATCCAGCGCTCAGAACGGTGAGAACCCAGGCCTCTAACCCGGGAGGCCGGAACCTTTCAGGGTTCTGTCTCCAGCATCCTAGATGTACCTGTGGTGCTGCTTAGACACAGAGGCCTGGGTCTAATCCTTGCTCTTCCCCATCCAGCAGAGAGGAGCCTTCCCAACAGCTGCCCTCTTTTTATAAGCAGCCTTGGTTTCTACTTCCTCTGTAGTCCCTGAGTTCGGGGAGCTATTATGTGAATTTCCTGGTGGAACCTAAAAGAAAGAAATGTCTGCCTCTGCACTGGGGCTCCGACAGTCCAGAAAATACCGAGGAGTCCAACTTGGCGAGTAGCTGAATTCATTCTTGCTTACAGAGCCGTGGGTGACATGTGGGCCGAAGTGCCACCCATCATCCCTCCTGTGCTAGGCCACTGTTTTCTTAGGGTGCCAATTAAAACAGCAAAGCAGGATCCAAAGCAAGAAGGACCCTTGGGAGAAGCGTGTGCTCCCCTCTGAGCCGAGCCTATCCTTATCAGTGTGCTCCACCCCTCTCTGCTGTTGTGGAAGCAGGAACGGACTAGATGGGAGACATGGCAGGAAGGAACTTTGGAAGGCACACACTTGTATTATGCTATCAGGCTGATGGGAATCTCAGTTCCAAACATCAGCCCTGTCTTGAGGTTTTACAGTCCCTTATATAGGTTGTTAGAAGAAAGTACAAAAGGCAGGTAACAGGGTATTCTATAACTGGTTACATACATTTGATCATATATTGTCAGGCAGTTTTATTTTGAACAAGTTAATTGGGAGTCTCTCTTATCATACAGCAGAGAAGTCAAGGGCTGGGCTGAGCAGGAAGAATCAATCATTGTCTTAGATCCAGCTGGTCCATCTCCAGGTGATAAATCCTTGAAACAAGGTAACATAATGAGAGGCACTGTTTGGCTGAGTTACATTTATCTTACAAGTTGCAGGTGGCCCTGGAATGCCAAGGCTACTTGAGTTTTGTTATTTTCTAATTATGAGAACAGGCTGCTTTGTTCTGCCCATCCTTGAATCTGGTGTCCAGCTTTAAGTTTTAAAATTGCCTTTACACTCCTGGTGCAGTTTAACCCAAGTGTGGTTGTTGACCTTACAGCTTCAGCACCTGGCAGGGCCCATTACAGGATGGGGTTGCTTTAGCAAGGGTTTGGAGGACAGTTCTTACTTCAGAGGCTGAGGTACCCCTGGCTCCAAGTGACATACCACTGGCAAGGAGATGCATGAGGCAAGCCAGGGGAGGTGGGAAGCACAGTTAGGACCACTGAGCCCAGAGAAGGTGCTCGCTAGGGGATTCCAGGAAAGGATCCTTGCTGTCTCTCTACCTGGGCTGTGTGGATAGTGCTACAGCAGCTACTTGCTATGCCTAGGGCCCCCCACAATGAGGAGGCAGACAAGAAAGGTGAGAAGAGGTCCAGCCCTGGTGACTCTTGGGAACCAAGTCAGCCCTCATCCTGGAGTTTGCAGTCTTAAGAGCCAGTGTTGCAAATTAGGCATAACCTTGGTTATCTGCAGCGTGGCTAATATGGCTGGAGCATTAGCAGGGTGGCTGGCTTCTGCCTCCACTGTAGAGGGGGGCAGTGATAGTATCCGTTTCCTAGGGCTAATACAAAGATGGAGGCACAGCTGGAAGGAAGGGCTGAGCCCAGGATCCCCTGGAGAAGTTGGCAAGGCAGAGTTGTGCTTGACATTTTGCATCCGTAGCAGCTTTCTCATTTGCCAGCAATCCTTCCAACAACTGGCTTTTAAACTTGGGTGGAGTGAGCTGACAAATTGGTAGGATTTGTTACCAAATCACAGGGTACCTTCTGAAGATGAGCCCAGCTTAAGCAGCTGTGGCCCAGTGGTACGGTTTGTGGCCAGGCCATCAGGGAGGAAGGCGCATCTGGTCACACGCTCCCGTTGAGTCCCTGGCAGCTCCAAAGATGCCTGACTTAAGGATCTTTAAGTGTGTAAACACAGTGCTGAGCCTCTCCCCCATCAGTGTGGTTCTCCAGGGCAAGATGGAGACGTGTTGTTTGCAGCTGCGTGACTTGGAGCCAGTCGATCAGCAGCACCGGCTGAGCAGTTGTGCCTCTGGTGTGTAGGTACCGAGCCCCCCTCTTGCTCTGTCTCTGCCTTAGTGGGGCCATGAGGGCACCTGTGACATTCCTCTGAGCTCAGTTGGTGGTTGCCTTCGGGGGAGGCTTCCAGGGACCATGGAAGAAGTGCACCCCAGGGCTTGACTGCATGTTGTGAAATTGGAGCTCTGCCTTGTCACCTGGGTTACTGCATCTGGGAAATGGGGTGCAGGCTCAGTCAGTGTCAGGTGGTGGTGCAAGGACTGGCACCCTTTGGAGTGTTTGTCCAGCCTGTGACTATGCCCTTGTCAGAGCGTCTAGGGAGCGCTGCTGATAGGGCTCACATGGTCCCTTCCCAGCTCAGCCCCAGCCTCCCAGACTCGGGGGAGGGTCAGACACAACTGTAGAGCCTTTGTGTGGGGTCAGAATGGAATGTGGATATTCATCAATATTTGCAAGTAATACAAGACAGCTCTGACTGATTTAAGCTGACAGCCAACAGCAGACATCAGCAAGGTGGCACTGGGTGTGGGAGCAAGAACCTGGCCGCAGCGCCAGAATAGGTGGACTGCCGGGGCTGTGACCGGATCCCAGCGCATATGTGCTCATGCACACTCCTGCACATACCACTCATGCATGCACACATGTGCATACCCACACAGGGAGCACTCATGACACACACACACATGCATGCTTCCACAATGCACACATATGAAAACATGCATACCATTCACTCATACACTCACACATATGCCCACATAGCGGAACACACTGCTGCACACATGTGCACACACATGTATACATTTGTACACCTATGCACTGTCACTCAGGCACATGCATACACGTGTGCTCTCACACACATATGAGGGCATGCATGCTCACATTCGCACACATTTAAACACATGTACACACATGCACACTCACTGCTTGGTGCATGTACATGCTCACAAGGGAGCACACATGCTCCCACACCTGCACACACACAACTTGCACACACATCCACATGCACACATGCACACCACTCACACTCAGGCACTTGTACACCCACATGTTCACATGCATATCCACATGTTCACACGAATGCCCCCTCAGATGGGAATGTGCACGCTCACATGTGCACACACGCACACATGGAGTGTGGCTCCTTTGATTCCCAGCGGTTTTGCTTTTCTTACTGTGATGGATAGTGTTTACCAAGACTGATGACAGAAATCTCCAGTCTCACATGCTCTTCCAGAACCTGGCCCATGAGGAGGCTGTGTTGGATCCCCTGTGGGTCAGGCAGGCCTGTGTGAGAGGCAAGTATAGAGGAAATGGCACCGCATGGTGGCCATAGCTGGCCATGACAGGAGACACGCCTTAGTTTGCCAAGCTCTCAGGAGGCCGGTGCTGGGAGCCAAGCTGTGAGTGAGTGCCGGTGCCCAGTGCCCAGTGCCCACCAGCTTCGCAGCCCACACTGGCATGGCCTGGAGAAGTCAGTCTGCTGAACCCAGCACAGCCCAGGGAGCTGCTGAGTTGTGTTAGAGCCACTAAGTCTCACAGGTGCGCTCCACAGCGAAAGCCACAGCTCCCTGCCGTGGTGTCCAAGGTTGTAGGAGAAGCCCAGTGGTCCCTGTGAATGGGTTTACAGCTTGCTGGTAAAGAAAGGGTCCCCCAGGTATAAGAAGCCCTTCTGGACCTTGTTGCAGTCTGGAGTCCACATTTGTAATCCCAGGGAAAAGTTATTGGAATTCCAATAAGTAATTCCAACCTACCATTTCTGGTGCAACCCGCGGTAAGAATAAGGAAACAAACACGTATCTGTAGCTATAGAGAGCTAAGGGGGTCCTCAG